GTCGGTTTGTTTGAAAAAACAAATATACGCGATTTAAATTCGGAAAAATAGTTTCATTTACTATAAACAAAGACACTTAAATATAAAGACAATTTGTGTGGTGCCAGTTGCGCTAACAACAGGATTAGTAACTTAGTATTTGCTAGAAAACGCAATGCGTTCCAAACACTGATTTCAATTTATTCATTTATTTATTGCAATAAATAAGGACGAGGTAAGTGAGGAGAAGGCTCAAATTAATAAATCTATTTCGAGTGCAGGGATTTTTTTTATAATATCAAGTAACAAGACAAATAAATTGTGCGGCTGGTGGTAAGCAACACGCATATCCATAAGAAAGTGATATTCAGAGTCTTTAATCGCAAATACCTCACAGTCACTGCGCCCCTCACTCTGAGACATAAGTTGACAAGTCCATGTGCCTGTAATTTCACCAGCACCCCAACCCTTCAAAATTTAAACGACTAATGCTCACATTACTGCTTGGATCAATCGATATTAAGATCTTTATTTCAGTCATCTGTCTTTATTAAATAAAAGTGATTACCGATTGTTTTCATAATTGAGGTAAATTAAGTCAATAATAAAGATAAGTCTTTAAAAAATGTAATTAATGAAATGACGCTCATCTGTCTGTGTCTGCACATAAGGGTACAAAATAAAATTAGTCACATTTGAGTATCACAGTGTATTATTATGTATTTTTGTAACAATTAGAATGAACCTTAGAATAATAACGCATAGAATGATAGTTTCATATCAAACGAACTGTCACAAGTGAGGCAAAAATCAAATTCATGTAGGCTAGTTTTAGTAGTAGGTTAATTTTCGGTTTTAGTGAAAATTTATATAAAAAAACAAGTTGAAACGCGTTACTTCCTTGTGGAATGTGATGTTAGTATCTATTTTATGTTTGTCTGACGTATTTTTACACTCATTTACCGTACATTTCGTCATTTTTAGCTAAAATTCTTGATCTGTTCGCGGTGCAAGTTGACCTTGAGCACTGAAGGCCCGCCCGCTCGTGTAGGCCCATTGGGCGCGCTTCAATTTGCCTCACTTAGCGTGTGCGGACTAGGTTTCTATGCGTTATTATTCTAAGGAATGAACTATGAATTTCGCAAATTAATCCTCAGTACATAAACGGCCACGAAACTATACGACCTTCGCAAACACGCTATGGAGGTCCGCCATATTGGATTTGTAAAGGGAACAAACATTGCTCGTACATAAGCAGATTATGTAGCAGTAATTTTTTTCTTCGTACATTAAAGTCCGCCATATTGGTTAATAAATGGAACTATGTAGCAGGAATGATTTTTCCTCTCCCAGTGCTGATAATGTAACTTTTAATTGCGTTACTTTGTATTCCCAAAATGTCGAAATTATGATTGCATAGGCAATAAACTCTTAATGTAATTAATATAAATATGATCTGGTCCTGGTTTCGCCGCAATTGCCGCCATGACGTAATGGTAGGCCAATCCAAGAGGCCAGTCTACACCATAACTGTTACCAATGTCGTTATATAGCTGAAAATAATATTTTTCAATCACAAACTTCGTTTGTGATACCCTTGCCACAGACTGCATGCATATAGGAAGGTACAGTACGCTCTGAAAAGAGTTACCTTCACCTCTCCCGATCATCTTGCGAATCTGGGTTGCGATCATATTCACCCTGACTGAGCCCTACGTTCCCTTTCCATATCGCGGTCATCTTTAAGATCAGGCGCAAGTACACGCCGTAAATATTTAACTGTTTTACCTTCTGCAGGTCTAAATAAAGTTTTTTGAAGTTTTTGTATTAGAAACAATTAGAAAATGATATTGATCAGAAACAAAATTCATGTTATATATGTATAGTGAAGGAACGATATTTCAATTCATTGTTACTAATTCCTATGGTATTTTTGCGCCAGTTAAAAGTAGACTTAGTGTCTGGAAAATCAAAGGAATAATTACTTTGTGGGACAAAATTAAGACACAATAAAAATAAAAATACATTGTATTAATATTATTACTATGAAGCAAATTACAAGCACTGATTGAATCTCGCATTACCGATAGCAACTTTATGTTCCACTGAAAAATATACGATGATCCTCAATTGTTTTATTTTCTCCTTTTGGCCAATATGCTCCTAATAAATTTGTCGTAGACGTTTGCGGGACCAGGCTGCGCAGTAATCGCCGCCATCACGTAATTGTAGGCGATTCCTAGAGACCACTCTACGCCATATCCATCAATATCATTGTACACCTGAAACGTTAATGTTTTTTAATTTAAAATTACTGTAAACTTAAAAGTGAATGTAAATTACTTTGCTACTCCGTGAACCCAGTGATGTTTAAAGTGCACAAAAGGAGTAGGGTACTGGGTAATTTTCTAGTTACTTTTGGCTACCTAATTTCGGTGTGTCAATGTCGATCAGACGCCTACAGATTAGCACGATTTTGTCGATCATAACTGTCGATCGGTATGATGTTTCCAGACAGAAATTTTGCCGCATCTTTACTTGTAAAGCTGCGAGTACACTTACTGTACACTGTATATATAGTATTTGCAGTTTTATAAACAAACCTGCGGCAAAATTTCTGTCTCAAAACACATCATATCGATCGACAGTGTCGAGCAAATCTGTAGGCACCCAATCGACATTGTACACAGTAACGATCGACAATGTCGAGCAAATCTATAGGCACCTTTACAACCAGAAACAAAGATCTGCAACGGGCACATAAAGATATTCGTAAGATCTGCTAATTCGTTCCGTAGCTTAGTTGGGATAGTGATAGATAATTTATAGTTGTATAGTATATATAGATAATAAATAGCTGGTTAGAGTCAAGGAATTTTGTTTTTTGTTTGTTCGACCTTTGTAAATATTATTGAAGAGGAAAGTATCCGGGATGCAATCCAACTCACATTAATCTTAGTACTCTCATCAAACCCGTAACCATCCTGCAGCAGGGATACGATAAAGACGGCGTCAAAACAACGCCAAGGTCTCTTCTCATCAGATGTAGCACATCCACCACTTGGACCCATCGCGTGTTCCATTATCTGAAGAATAGATATCTCGCCACTTTCGTCTGGAGCTGAAATATAAACACTGACATTAAAGCATACTAGAGAGACAGAACTTTTATTTATTACTTATAAAAGGTAACGTAAAGGTAAGGTTAATTTGATATTTGTATTTTTGTGGCATTATCTGAGAGCGTAATTGTACAGTTTTTCAACATGAATACTGACAAAAATGGTCGTCGTGATTGCAAAAAGTTACCAAATCAAGTTTTTTTTTACGTGCGTTTACAAGTACATTATCAAGTCTCAAGAAAAACTACGAAAGGAAAAGGCGGCCTTACCTCTGAAAATCGTAGTAGTAGCATAAATACATGCCTTATAAGACTAACATACATAATAATACAATAAAAACACTACTGACTAATTATTATTTACACGTATTGTCTGCGACGTGTGACGCAACGTGGGTGTCCGATAGCCGGCCTCGGAAACGTTGGTACATGACCCCCTTCGGCCAAAACTCATCTTTCATGAAGGTCGACAGATGTCGAGTTGGTACTCTCACCACAAATGAATTAAAATTTACATAGTGACGGAACACCAACTACTCGACCCTCAGGGTAGCATTGGCTTCACCCGTATATACTCCACAATGTCGGCAGACTTTGTGGAGTAATGAAGCCGCGTGACACGTATAACAACGTCGTCGGTATCGCTGGACGCAGTAAATGATTAGGGCCTGACGGGGCGGTGCCATTAAGGTTACGGTTGGTGTACTTCTTCCTTTCCAACTTTTTTAAACCGTCATCGGTTCGAAAAGGTGGAAATCACATTTAAGAAATTTGTTCTAACAAAACAGTAAATCTTTACGCTGGTCGTAATTTGCGGTTTTTTAACATATCATAGAGGGTTTATGATACGTGTGTAGATAAAATACCTACCTATAATATATGTAGATATTTAATAAATATATTATATTTATACTTCTACATATATACGTACTACATATATGTATATTTATATTGAGAGGGGTCCTGAATTCCGTACCGTTTTGCGTATCATGCTATGCTAGCTATGTAATGAAGCGGAGCATTCATGTCATTTGCTGTAGTAACCGAAGCTGTACCCATCATCATTATCATCAACAGCCTATCGCAGTCCACTGCTGGACATAGGTCTATCCCAATGCGTACCATTTCGCTCGGTTCTCGGCTCGTAGTGGATGCCATGGACACACACATAGACAACCACAGAATGACACCCAAACTCACGAGAGAAATAAATGTAGGCCACACATATATTTCTCTGGGACCTCTGCGTGGCAGACCAGCATGGTAACAGTTCGGCCATGGCGGCAATTAAAATAGTTTTTAAACATTGTAATTCCGCTAACTACCTAATTGCATAATGTTTACGATATATTAGATAAAAATCGAAGCATGACAACGACTTCATGTGAAACAATTTTTTTTTTATAATATCAAGTGACGGGACGAACAAGTCGTGCGCCTGATGGTAAGCTACACGCCTGTCCATAACAGTTGCAGTGTCACTCAAAATTTTAAATAACAAAAATCTTAATTAACACTACTACCACTGCGCCCGTCACCCTGAGACATAAGTTGACAAGTCCCGTGTGCCTGTAATCTCACCAGCACCCTTACCTTCAAAACCGGAACAGTAATGATGATATAACTGCTTGGCGGCAGAAATAGGTAAGATGGCAGTACTTCCCCCGACGAACTCTTTCACTAGGAGCTCTAGTGCTACTGATACAATATTAATATCTTACTAATAAATCCTTCGTCGTTGGAAAAATGGTAAAAGTATCCCATGGCGGCGACGCCGTTCTCTGTAGGGACCTTCTCGACGTTAGTAGATTTCATCGTAACTTTGATGTACCGCTGAACTATCTCACGACATCGCGCAAAAACTGCCTCTGGACTCAAACCCTTACGAGACGTTCCGCTAAAAAAGAATAATAACACTAACCAAGTCTCCGTAAGCAAGGTTTCAGGTATCAAAATGAATAGATTTCGCGTCTTCAAAACAAGTAACCTCAAATATTTTCCTCGGTCTTACCATGTTTAAGGCATGCAAACTGGTTACTCGGTTAACCGATCTAACCGGGTAATCATCAATTTTAGAAACTGGTTTTCAGCTAACAAAATACCGGGATTTTCGGGATTTTCTGTTTTCATTTAAAACTAATATCATTTATTTTATTTTAAAGGTACACAAACAGAATGTAATCATCACATGGTAACAGATACAGTTTGATACATTAATAACCTAGACCACATTCCAAAAACAGTGTACACAGCATGATAAAATAAGTCTTAGTATTAGGTTAGTGTAAAACTACAAATCATGATATAGCGATTAATAATGACAAGTAAGCACTAACTAAATACTAGGAACTTGACTACACTGCAGCGACAGCGTCCGTAAAATGGGTGCAGGTAACCTTTGGGTAGCAGTATAGCAATAACAACTTCAAAAAAATCTTTGTGGTTTGATGTTTTCCTTCACGGGCAGTGTTGTCGCTTTAGCGACTTAATCGCTAGGTTCAGTAAATTTTACGGATGTTTAACAAGGTTTACTACAAATTGTTATCTATTTGTATTTCTATACCGACCTACCTGACTTTCACAAGCTGGCCAAAAAAATTAAATTCATGCTCGCACAAAGCAGGGTCTAGGCACACGGACAAATACAGCTCCTGTGGTTCAGGATGACCAGACTCCAATTGAAGGGAACCGAAACGAGCTGCTCCTATACCCTGTCCGATGAAACTGAAATTGAGTATAAAATTTTAATGATGTTATGTCTCAAAACAGAAATATCCAATATTTTAGTTACATATTCTGTCTTACGTTTATACTATAGAAGCAAGAAAACTAAAATGTGCGCAGTCTGTAATGAAAGTGACCATCACAGAATAGTGATGGATGGCAAAGCAAAATAAACCACGAAAGAAAAATCTTTATCCATTATTTATTATTAACTTTGCTCATGCAAAGGAAACCGTTTGTTCTGTGCAGTTGAACAAGCAAGAAAGATGCAAAGGCATGATGACACCATAAGAATATCAGTTGAGTTAGGATTGTGAAGAGGCCACGAGCAGCGTAAAGCTGACTCGATGCTAAACGTCACGAGATGAAGGCCCTTAATTACGTTGGTGGCGTACTCATGTGCCCTCAACGTGCACGATGCTCGTCGTGAAGATTGGCTCATAAGTCATCTTCATCAACCCAACTAGGACTCAAAGTGGCCACTATGAGCGTACACGGTCGGGTAGATAGATAAATTGCAAGTGTATGTGACCGGTTTGACAAAAGTTGATAAAGGTGACTTGGAAAAGAATGTGATAGCGTTAGAGGAAACTTAAAAAGCAATGTCGCTGAATGTATAGTGTTTAAATAAAAAACTACCTGTGAGAGAAAAGTGTAGTGCTGAAAACAGCAGGTCGTATAAATATGTCATTGGCTGAATATTTGTTTATGTCGTCGTTGTTCACCGCGTAAGTTACTTGAGCTGACGCTCCGCCTATTTCTAATGATGTCATTGCTGTACCCTTTCCGAGATTATCTAGATAAATCATTTATTAGTTAATGCAGTTAACAATACAAACTAAAGCATTATGCGTCAGATCATTATAATGGGCCCACTTTTGCTACTTTTCTCATCAGTTGTGTGTCTATAGATTGTCAATGGTAGGATTTTGTACATTTGGTATTCTGCAAGTTTCGTAGTGGCTAACCATCAAGCTACTATCCAACTACCATTGCAATTTAATGGTATTCTGCTCTTCAATGGCTTCACTACGTCGATGGCATAGTTTACTAATTGTTACTATCATGTCAAGTTTTAGTAAGGCAACATCGATTATTAGTGACTGAAGACTTAAACTGAAGGATCTTATACTGAAGATTTAAATCGAAACATTTTATACTGAAGAAAAGAGAAGCTAATTACTAGGCAGTATGGTCTCTGACCGTCGCCTGTTCCATGCGGAACTAAGGAAAACAAAAAAAAAATAATGCCGTCATTGCCATTCACTGCACTTTGTTGAGATTCAAGTGTATTCCCAATCTCGTGACCAAATATCAAACATAGGCATAAAGATTTATAAAGAAGAAGACATCCCCCGCCTCTTGCCATCTTTACTGCAGAATACGAAGACTTATGAATACATATGTATATGCATATATTCTTTTCACCATTGGAGAGATATAGATACCTTCAAACAAATACCTGAAATATATTCAATGAAGAAAGTCTCAGACACACTATTTAAAAAGATATGGAAAAAAGTCGTTGAAGATTGGCTTGATGGATTTATTTGGACGCCGTAAAACTAATATTAAAAAAAAGAGATTCAAGTGCCAAGATTGATTCAATGTTTTAGCAGAATAACAAATATTATCATAATTGCAATTCAATGTCTGTGGGTTTTTAATGGAATTACTGTGACCAGTGGTTTCAAAATTGCGGTTTTGGAACTCTGAGCTTTTACACAAATATATTTAAGATTAAACAGGTATCTTCTGAATGAAATCGCGTCTCAGTAGTGATTATTTTGTCATATTTGGGCTCGTTTTGACCTTGAAGCCTAGATAGAAAGAGCAAACCACTTAATAAAATAAAGGAATGATCTTTTCCCACACTCACCAGTCAGCAAGTTAACCGCATACCACATGCAGATACCCTCGTCTGACTCCTTTAGTATTTTGACACTATTTTCGTTCACTGGATAGCCAAGGCTGAAAATATAACTTCTTCAAACAGTGCCTACTATACCAATGTTTTTGGTATATATTGCATTGTATGTTTATTGACTGAAAGGGATCACTACGTCTTTTCTAACTTTATCTATTGAAGGACAATGGCTAAATTATGTAAAAATGATAAAAGAAGTTAACATTCCAGAAGATACTCTGCGACGCTGAGTAAAAAAACTTTCATAAGTTCTCTCAGGTGGCGTCATGGCATAAAAGCCTTTTAAAACCCAAAGATTGGCAACGATAAAGTAGAGAGAAGTTCGTAAAGATCTGCTCATGTCGTAACTCAGCGGGCCGAGCGGGAACCACGTTGAGGCGACAGACGTTGGTTCGAATCCAGTCGGGTCAAAGGAAGTTTTACTTGCGTTTCTTGTATCAATAATAATACTCTGGAATATTAAAAATTTTACCACAACGAAACTTAAAGTAGTCAATTTTAATAACATTGACCTAGCAACAAATGAACGTCGGGTCTAATAAACAAAAACCACGAAAAAAATGGCCGAATTAACCTATACAAACGTAGTGACATGTAACGAAATATAAAAAACTAAAAAATTTAATTTAAATTGTAACGTCAGTGCAGTACTGCCTAATTTTGCTTGCAACAATTTAAGGACCCAAAAACACCATATTCAGCTTCTACTGGAAATTTAACAAAATGCACCATACTTAGCTTCGACTGAAAATTACTTGAACACAAGAGTGATGGAGTAGCCTTTATCGTAAATATTAATAAATTTTTTTATATATTAAGATGTCGAATTTTGTACAAATTCACTTAAAGAATTTAATAAACAGTTGGGCAGATACATACATACAAATATTACTACAAGTGTGAAAATAACAAGTGTGTAAATGCACCGATATTCCAACTAAACGTAAACTCAAATATCCGTAATCCCGAAAACCGATTTATAATAAAACCGCTTTCGTGTAATTTTAGTGCTTTTCACAAAGACAAAATTAGTTTTTATTTTGTAATCTTTCTAAAAAAAATACATTTAACATTATGAAAAGTCGAGGTAACGTTATTTCGGGCAAATGTATTTTCTGATTTCTAATAGGTAATCCCAAGCCGTAAAACGAGCACAACAATATTTTGTTAGTTATTGCAAACGTTTGATTAAAAATCATTTTAAAAATAAGATTAAAATTAAAGCGACTCTGTAGTTTCTTTGTTGTAAATATTTCAATCGCTTGTGGTTCGAACAATTGAAAATGACCAAGAAGTTTATATATAAGCTTCTTGAAATTGACACAATGGGTCTCTTTCCATCTTTTGCGCACGCAATGTGTAGAAAAAGACAGTTAGCTATTTGATTATTTTGTGTGCTTTTGTAATTTATATTTACGATTCATTTATATATAAATTAAATACTATAAAACTGTACAAAATAACATTTTTAAATGAGAACTATGATAACACAATATATTTGTTTAGTGAAAATATGGTACAAAACCCTGTTTTTACACTTTGCTGCAGTAATTTTTACAAGTTATTATTATATGGTACTGCATGATTGGCAACCGCGCTGACACTCGAACAAACTAAGACTGTTGCGCGATTGACGCTCTGTATGTGATTTTAACGCCCTATAGATGCGGACACTTTTAAGCGCGAACCCGATGTCGATTTATTGGTAGGTCAATGTTTAATAAAGAATAAACTTACTCAGAAATAGCTTCACGAATATGCTTTATCAGTGTATCAGCTTTGTTTTCAGGTAATACTCTCAAACCAGCTGTCGCACGTACTATCAAAGGAGTCACTGCTTTCATTTCCTTTGGTACAAATACATCTGCCGCTTTTATCAAATCAACAATGGCCTTTGCACCTACTTTTGGTATATCCGCATAACTCGAGAGTCCAGGTTTTATGGCAGCGTATAGTTCATCATCTATGTTTAGGTTTTCAGAATCTGAAAAGAAGAATTCATCCGAAAGATCTCTACCTCCACTGGATTGTGAATCGCGATAATATATAATGTTCTAGGTAAGTACCGCCAAGTTTAATTATTGTCTAATCTAAAATGTACAAACAGATCCATTACAGATACATTTTAATAGATACGATCTTAGAAACCAAAAAAGCCGTGATAGCCTGAAGATCTAACCTACTGCCTCTCAAGCAGAAGCCGTGGGTTCGAATCCAGCCTCGCATCTCTGAGTTTTTCGGAATTGATGTGCGAAATGTAAGTTGAAATTGAGTATTTCGGGGAAAAAAACACCGTGAGAAAACCTGCACGTCAAAGAAGGTTTACAACCCTCCAAAAACGTGTTAAGTTCCCCACCAGCATGACGCACTATGGCCTTATCCCTCGCTTAAGAGGAGACCCGTGCCCGGCAGTGGGACGTATAGATAGGTTGATGATGAACAATTGTCCGACTTTGTGCAATAGAGATAGGCAAACAGTAATAATAATAATAATAATAATAATAATAACACACATTCATAGAGAAACTCACACACATTGACCACCACAAATTACACCCAACTCACGAGAGAAATTAATATTTCTCCCGAGCCGGGAATCAAAACCGGGACCTCTGCGTGGCAGACAAGTATTGTAACCGTTCGGCAATGGAGGCAGTTATAGTCCTCTTAATATATGTTTCATCACACTTACTTATACTTAGGTAATACTGAAAGCTTCGGAATTCTGATAAGTAAGACCAGATATTATGTTTATAATAGATTTATTGTTTTTCAAAGTATATGCCCTCGCTATTCACACACTGTTGCATTCGTTGGATCCATTGTGAAAAACAGTGGGATCAGTCTTCCGTAGGGATCTCTTTCACCGCCTCTTTCTGGCTTGTAAATCGTAAACCTCTAAGTTTGTCTTTGACTTTTGGAAATAAAAAGAGTCGCATGGTGCAAGGTCTGGGCTGTATAACGGATGGGTCATTAGTTCCACATTTGAGGCCTTCAAATATGCATTCATTATGTTAGCGAAATGTGCAGAGGCATTGTCGTGATGAATTGCGATATTGCTTCGAGAACGCTTTTTGCGAACTTTTTCTAACGCTCTGGGCAAGCAGGTGTTCACATACCAATCTGCCGTACTATCCTTTGGTCTTCAAATGCTACGTAGTGTAATGTCCTGATTTGCCCGAAGAAAGACGCAACCATTTTCCTACCAGTGCTCCGACCTTTCTTAACTTTCGTCGGCAAATCTTCAAAAGGAAAGACCCATTGTGCGGACTGGCTTTTTCTTTCCGGTTCAAAGCAGTACACTCAGGTTTCGTCAGCTGTCACGATATTATATACAGCCAATGATTGTCCTCCATTAAACTTTTTTTATCATTTTAAGGCACCACTATGCACGCAGTCGTTTCTGGTAATCACGCGGTATCCATCGATTGTAAAGTTCCGAACCTTCAGATGCACATGCGATATCTTTTGCACCGACGACATGGGGCTTCATCACCAAATGCCAATTGAAGTCTCTGACAATTCTCGTGTTGACTTAAGTCAAATCATGGAGCGAAAATTTTCACCAGTGAAATTCTTAGAGGATGGAAAAAAATGAACTAAAATTCATTGTAATAGCGACTCACAGTTTTCAAAACGACGCCATAATGAAAAACAAATGACAGTCTCATTACTCACAGAGAGTTCCTTCTTCAAATTACATATTTGTTTTTTTTTCTTTGACAAGTATACAGTTCCAGAAACTTTCTATATACCCCACGTATAAGTAGCAGTAAAACTAGGCTGTATTCATATCTTACGATCGAAAAGCGGTTATGATAATGACTAAGCGGTAAGGTTTTTATTTGTAAGCTCTCGCACTGCCTACAAGAAGAGCGGAAAAACTCGCGCCGGGACCTCAAAATGCAGTTAACTATTTATTTTATTTGTTAGGGTAAATACAGTGGACGTTATTACATGTAACATATTTACAGGCACATATCAACTTATGTGAGGGTGACAGGCGCAGTGGCCTCAGGTCTTTCTTAGTTAAAGCTCTGAGTGGTATTTCAACTGTTATGGATTGGCCCTATCTAGCGACCCGAGAGATAGACTTTTCCGGGGAGACTACGGGCTCCCCGGCAAGACCAGGGTACGGCGGGCGTCCGAGCCAAACCTTCCGCCAGTGATACGCCTTCATGGGCGTCACTGGGGTCCCGGACTTGGGTATGAACTCGACGGGGTTTATGGTTAGCTGCCGAGATGAACATGTTCATCAGGCCCAGTAGCATGTGGCTGGGGCGTTTGTCCCGCGCGCAGCTAGCGATCTTAGTAGCGGTCAATTTGAGGGCCTGAGGCGAAGAGACGCGCGGGATACGTGAGTTGCCCTTTAAGTCGGTAGCTATGTCCGGACATTATCACAAGACTCTGCTGCCTGTCATCTCTGGCACTAGCCCGGAGAGCTAGTAGAGGATGTGCTCGACATCCTCCGGTCCCTCTGGCCGCGTAGGAATTTAGGAACTGGAGAGACGCCGTTCGTTCGGTGTCGGGATGTGATCGTGCCTAACAGCTCCGCCACCAATGAGGAGATTTGGTAGTCGACTTAGAGTCGGCGACTAAGCAGTGATAACCGTTAGTCGCGCAGAGCACGTCGGGAAGTGACCGTGCCTAAAGCTCCGGTACCTATCTGGAAAATAGAGAGTGCTGTACGTGCACCCGGGGCGGCTGACATAAGGCAGTAGCCTTACAGAGAACCGGATAAAGTCCGTGCAAACGGGCTGATCTGGAGTTAGGACCTGACTTAGATGGGCCCTGTGCGGGCTCGCTCGCACAGGTCATAGTGTTTTTCCCGAACAACCAAGAGGTTGATAGGGAGAAGCACTATAAACAAACCTTATGTCGAAAGATATGGGCCTGTTATGGATTGGCATGTCGCTTGCCACCGGGTGCACGACATGTGCGTTCCATCACTTGGATAAAAAAAATTCTTATATTATATGCCACACGGCGATTACAAATATTCGCCTTGGAATATCCTTGTGTTCGTAATTGATTACTCATTGCCCCTATAACACAATGTACTGCAAACTCTTACAACTCTCTCCAACAAAAAGTAACTGTGACTTAACCAAACTATTTACTCACCGATCCTACGATATCCTTTAGGCAGAATGAATTTGTAAGCATGTAACCTGGAACCGCTGGAACCGCAATCCACCACCACCACATAGTAAATGTCTTTGTAGTCATAGTCTTGGCCTATTTTATTCACTAACATTCCTGGAAAAATCATAATCTCGTAAGTAAAAGTAGTTGACATTTTTTACAGCCCTACCTTTTTTTTAAGCGTTGTATGCCTCACGGGCGGAACAATAATTACAAACGTTCGGGCCTCGGCATCGGCACAGTATAATAAATGTAAGTAGGATAATTGATATGACAAAGGCTTATGATAAAGTTTCCCATGACATTCTTCTGAAAACAATTTTATGACAGTGGTATTAGAGGTGACGCCTTTAAATGGTTATACACCTACTTAAAAAATAGAATACAGTACGTACAAGTTGAGAGTCAAAACACAAATACGGGGGAAACAAATACATAAAGGTCAAATAAAGTTTATATAAACTCATTGACTTACAATTATATTGACGTCGGGTCCGCGCTAAAAAGTGTCCGAACTTATAGAGCGTTAAAATCGTATACAGAGCGTCATTCACGCTTTAGTCTTCGTTTGTTCGACTGACAGCGAAGCAAGCAAAATTAGACAGTACTGCGATGACATTACAATTTAAATTCAACGTTTAAGCTTGTTCATATTCCTTTACATGTCACTACGTTTAAATAGGTTGACTTGGGACATTTTTTTCGTGGTTTTTGTATTAGACCCGTCGTCCATTTATTTGTAAGTCAATGTATAAACTCCTCAATTTCCCAGGGTAGTGTACTGGGATGTATTCTATTTATATTATACATAAATGACTTACCTAAACAGATACACACACCATGTACTTTATTTGCAGACGATATCTCCCTTATTTTCAAGTATAACAAAAACTTCAACATACTTTTTGAACAGACATTTAAAAACGTAACGAACTGGCTTAGCAAACACAACTTAGAAATAAATTATAATAAGACGAAAATTATAGAATTTAGACCACGACAAAAGTCAGACTTAGGATTAAATTTATGTGTAAACAAACGATAAAAATTTTGAGAAAGTGACTACAAGTAGTTTCCTAGGAATAGAAATTGACTCACATATTGATTGGAAATCACATGTACAAAAAATTAAGATGAAAATCTCCCAATTCACCTACGCTTTACACGAATTAAAATGTGTCACAAATTAAAAACAGCTTTGTCAGCCTATTACGGGTATGCGTTTGCATGGTTAAATTACGGCTTGATACTATGGGGAAACAGTACCCAGGTGAATGATCTCCTTATTCTACAAAAAAAGTGTGTACGTATCATCACGAATATCAAACAGATGGAATCTTTTCGACCACATTTTAAAAAATTACAAATATTAACCCTACTTTCTATGTACATATTTGAAATGGCTAAATTTATTAGAAAAAATAGTGAACTATTCATTAGTGCTGTACCCACTTCTATAAAACTGTCTAGATACATGAATATATTAAGCCTTCCGCAAAGTACATAAGCATCTATCAGAATAGTCCGTATTATAATGCGATAAAGATTCACAATAAACTACCCGAATACCTTAAGATGTGAGACAAATTACAGAAATTTCACTAAAAAATTAAAAATTGACAAGTGATATTATAACTTAAATGAATTTTATATAGACAAACTTGCGTAGTTTTTGGTTAAATTATGTTGTTTTATGTATTTGACGAAGGCGGATGATGGATAACTGACATGTTATTTTAATCTAATATTTTGTAATGTGTGAACAATAATGTGAGCCAAAATGTGGCGACTAAGTGCCATACCCCTGAGGGGTGTCATAGCAATAAGTACTAACCTAATGGAACGTGTATTGTTATGACTTGCATTTGAAATAAATAAATAAACTCCCGCCTGTTCAGCGCGTAAGTACCTACACTTCGCTCGGAGCGTAGTTGTACCTACAGGTTGCAATATAAGTATTAATATTTTTATATCAGCATTGCGAATTTAAAATAGAAATTAAATGCTGAACAATTTTGAATTTGAGGCACTCCTGTTCAAACTACCACAAACAAAAATAAACACATCTGCTATTTGATATCATGTTTTGAACACCGAACGACCGCTTCAATTCTATAATTGACGACGGGTGCGATGCAACGCAAGTGCACTGTGAGATTATGTGAATATGGGCGTCTATACACGGCACGCAGCGGCTATCCACACATACAAGCCGCTCTGCTACGCTTGTATGCTACTTGTGTTATTATACCATGGATACAGCTCAGTTTTTTAATATAGCCTCAGTTCAGAATTTCTTATGTACCGTCCTTGTGACACAATGTCCGAATGAATTATCAGGTTACGAAGACTTACCGCGCTATAGGAAGAGGGCCGCCCGAGCGAATGCTCGCCCGCCTACGCTACGAGGCCGAGATCATATCGGTTCTGTACTCAACAATTTCATTTTTTACAACGTGCCTAAGTTTCAAGTCCCACCATTTATATTTCCTAAATAAGTTAATTCGTCAATGTGAATAATAATTTTGTAAAAAAAAATAAAACTCGTGTTTTACAAATAAACTTACTTAACTTAAACACAACGTTGCAAGCTTTTTTTAACACAAAAGTCTATGCACGTTTTACGTCTATGCACGCCCTTAAACGTTTTTCTAAACGATTTTTTACGCTTCAAACTAAAAAGCGCGTGAGTAAAAAGCGTATTTTCCTAAAAAAGCTACAACGTTTTAAATGTTTAAAAATGGCAGTATGCGGTATTTATTCTAATAATGTATATATTTGATATTATAGTTTATACAATTACTTTATTGATGAGTAGTGTGTTTATTTATAACACTTTCATTACAAGATATTCTTTGGTTGCACCCCCATTCCAACTGTTAAATTTCTAAGATTGCCTGGAAGAAATTTCTACTTAGCAATAAGGCAGCCTGTTGTACATTATCTTACCCTGTGAAACGTACATTATTTCTGTTTTGTCATTGTCATTTTTAATGTGCAATAAAGAATATTTCATTCATTCATTTGTATTACCTGAAATAATTAAAGGAAAGGCGCGTACTAGCGGCGAATGCGTCAATGACACAGCTGTGGTGGCCGTCATTTTTCACCAAAATCAGCTGCAAGAGAATATCTGTTTAATATTTTGCAAAACTGAAATTCATAAATATGTAGGTGATAACCTTGCGCGATTTTTAACATTCTAAAGCAATGTTTGTAAAAACATTTTCATTCCAAAATATATACTTAAGATCCTTTACTCTTATCTACAGAAACATATTTTCGTATCCTGTTATCAATAACTGTAACACAAGGTCAATGACGTCTGGTAAATTTGTAGTATCAGAAATTAATCTACAGAAACGTATTCCATATTTACTAAACAATTTACCTGAGGTTATTGGACTTGAAATTAGAAAAGTAAATTTAAACATCTTTTGTTTCAGCATTTATTGTCAAACTGAGGGTCGTATTCCAGAACTCTACTCAATACTCAAGTCAGGACTTGAGTATTGCAGTGAGCACTGAAAATCATACTCAAGTCCTTGCCGTTTGGGTCGTATTTCCAGTGCTTGAAATCATACTCAAGTCTGCTCAAACCCTGACTTGAGCATTGAGCAGAGTTCTAGAATACGACCCTTAGACTGACTTAGAGTAGATTATTGTTAAAATACATGTTACGAAAAATATAATGTATTATTAGTTTTAAGGTTATGTATATAAAAGCGAGAGTCGTTTGATCCCATAGTCTAACTGAATACTCCGTTTTGTAGAACGATGTACTTTATCTAAGGAGAACTGTAATGTTTTTTAGATGCCCGCGACCACGTCTTAGAATAGTTATATTGAATCTCCATACAAAATTTTATCCCCTATTTTACCCATTTAAGATTTATTTTTGTATTAATTATGTATTAATTTTGTAAAGGACAGTTACTTTTACAAACAAAAAACACACACACACACACACACACACACACACACACACACACACACACA